ATATTATAATATTTGGGAAGTCATTGAATTTGGTCCTTATATGCCTACTAAGATTATTCAAATTGATAAAAAATCCGATCGGAGGAATATGATGAAGATGATAAAAGAAAATTGTCCTTGAATACTAGAGCCTAAAACCTACTCTATTGTGTCTTAGATAAAAATGAGTTTAATCGTATTAACACATGTGACTCCGCATATGATATATGACATGCTTTAGAAGTCATTCATGTCGGCACAAGTAAAGTAAAAGAAACCAAGATTAATCTCTTGGTCAAAGAATTTGAAATTTCTTCATGAAACAAGACAAATCTATTATTGATATGATTGCTCGCTTCACCGATATTGCCAGTGGTCTCAAAGGTTTGGATTGTAAATTTACTAATGGTGGGCTTGCAAGTAAAATGCTTAGGTCACTTTCAGAAGATTGGAGCTCATTGGGGATGTTGATAGAAAATGCCGAATACATAAACTCTTTTCCCTTGGAGAAATTCTATGGAATCTTGATGACATACGAGCTCAACAACACTGAAACCAAGGAAAAGACGAGGAAAAGCAAGGAAGAATCAAAAGAGCCTCACAGGCGTCAAATTGCTCTCAAAACGGCAATTGAAGAAGGAACTTCAAGTGAACATATGAGAGATGAAGAACTTGATGATCTTGTGCTTCTTGTCAAAAAATGGAGCGGCTTTCGAAATAATCGAAAGTTTCAAAAAAAAGATGAAAAGAGCAAAGAAAGAAGCAAGAAAATTGTTTATTACGATTATGACAAACCCGATTACTAGAGAACCGAGTGTCCAAATAAAAAGAGAAATTTCAAGAAAAAAGCAGTTCAAGCAACATGGGATGAAAGCGATGATGATGATCGTGATTAAAATGAAAGTCAAGAAGAGATCGCCAACATGTGCTTCATGGCAATCGACGATGAGGTAAAGTCTATTGAAGAATTCTCATATGAAGATTTATCTTCTTCTTATGATAAAATTTTAGAAGAATTTGAAAAACTCGCTTTTAGTCATTCTATTCTTAAAAAGAAACATAAGTTATTAAAAAATGAAATGGAGAAAATTTTAGAAATAAAAAAGAAAATGATTATGATTCATTATATAAAGAAAATTGCTCTTTGAAAGAAAATGTTGAAGATTTGACAAATATTATTTCACTCAAGGGAAGAAGAATTTTGATTTAATGCTTGGTAATTAAAAATGTGTTTTTGATAAAAGATGCATTAGATATAAATCTTTTTTTAAACAAAAATCTCTCAAAAATTTATTTGTCAAAGTCTCAAATACAATTCCCTCAAAAACTACTTGTAACTTTTGCAACAAGGATGGACATAATACCTACAATTGTCTAACAAAAAAGAAGCTACACTTTGAAAGTAAAAACAAGTAGACTTGAAGATCCACTAAAACGAACTACCAAGAACCCAAGTTTGTGTGGGTACCAAAAATAAAAAATTGAACTATTTTTGTAGGTACTAAAGAAGATGACAAGCAAATGGTTCTTGGATAGCGGGTGTTCAAAACACAGGACCGGAGAAAACTTTACTATCAAACTTTAAAACGAATAATGGAGGTCATATCACTTTTGGAGACAATGCAAAAGAAAAAATCATCGGAACTGGAAACATCAGTAATCATCTTTCCCCCTCCATTGAGAAAGGCTATCATATTAAATTCAATTCTTCTAAATGTCTCATTAAGGATGCTACATCTAAAGATGTATTGTTTATAGGAAACCGAAACAAAGATGTTTATATCATAAATATCGATTTTGAAAGTGATGAAAAAAATTTAGTCGGTTTGAAAGAGGACATTTGGCTATGGCATAGAATATTAGGTCATGTTGGGATGGATCTTTTTTCAAAAATCTCTAAAAATGGTTCTGTTAAAGGTGTACCAAATTTGAAGTTTGAAAAAGATGAAATTTGCGATGCATATCAATTTGGTAAACAAGTGAAAAGTTCATAAAATTGCGCTCATCCACTACAAAACAACTTCAATTACTCCATATTGATCTTTTGGACCATCGAGAACCCTAGTTTAGGTGGAAAACACTATACTTTCGTCATCGTTGATGATTTCTCTAGATATACTTGGGTTCTTTTCTTAAGTCTCAAAGATGAAGCCTTAAAAACCTTTAAACATTTTTTTGCAAAAATGTTCAAAATGAAAAAGGGTACTCCATTACAACCATTAGAAATGATCACGGTAGAGAATTTGATAATCTTGCATTTGATGAGTTTTGTAATGAAATTGGATATGAACATAATTTCTCGACTTCTAGAACTCCCCAACAAAATGGTATAGTAGAAAGGAAGAATCGTACATTGCAAGAAATGACTAGGACCGTGTTAAATGAAAATAGCATGCCAAAATATTTTTAGGTCTAAGCCGTTAACACCGCTTGCTATATTGTTAATAGAGTTATAATTAGTCGAAAGAAAACCAAAACACCATATGAACTTGGGAAAAATAGAATTTCCAATATCGGATATTTCAAAGTCTTTGGGTGTAAATGCTTTATCTTGAATACAAAATAAAACTTGGGAAAGTTTGATTCAAAATTCGATGTTGGAATTTTTCTAGGATATTCATCTACTAGTAAAGTTTATAGAGTTTTCAACAAAAGAACTCTAGTCGTTGAAGAATCTATGCATGTCACTTTCAATGAAACTAACTCTCTCAATCGTGAGAAAGGTATTGATATTGATGTAGTATTGGAAACTCTATTCAAACAAATGTTTTTCAAGATCAACATAAGAAAAATCCACAAGATGAACGTCAGAAGGAGAAAATGTTTGACAAAGCGAAAAAGAGCCACCCGAAGTCCAAAATGATTTACCTCTATCAAAAGAATGGAGGTTTGTTTCTTCTCATCCTAAAGGACTAATCATTGGTGATTTATCAAAATGTATTACTACTAGAGCCTTTACTAAAAATAATTTAAGTAGTTGTGCATTCATTTGACAAATTGAACCAAAGAACTTTAAAGAGCCGATTTTGATGGATTTTGGATTCTAACTATGCAAGAAGAACTTAACCAATTTGAACGGAACCATGTTTAGGATTTAGTTGCTAGACCAAATGATCAAACCGTCATCAGTACTAAATGGGTATTTAAAAATAAACGTGATGAGAACGGAATAATTGTGCATAACAAGGTTAGATTAGTGGCTCAAAGTTACAATCAAGAAGAGGGCATCGATTTTAAAGAAACATTTGCATCGGTGGCTAGATTTGAATTCATTTGCATGCTTCTTTCATTTGCTTGTCATAAAAAATTCATTCTCTGTCAAATGGATGTCAAAAGTACTTTTCTTAACGGTTTTATTCAAGAAGAAATGTTTTTTGAACAACCACCCAATTTTAAAAATCACAAATATCCTGACTATGTTTTCAAATTTCGAAAAGCTCTCTACGATTTAAAACAAGTTCCTAGGGCTTGGTACGAACGATTGTGCAAATTTCTAATTTCAAATGGTTTTTAAATAGGAAAAGTATATACCACTCTTTTTGTTAAAACACAAAAGAATGATATGATCCTTTTTCAAATTTATGTTGATGACATTATATTTGGTGCTACTAATATTTATCTTTGTGAAGAGTTTTCTAAATGCATGAGCATGAAATTTGAAATGAACATAATGAGAGAACTTAAATTCTTCCTCGGCCTCCAAATTAAGCAAACTTGTGATGGAATCTTCATCAATCAAAGTAAGTACATATTGGACATACTCAAGAAGTTCGACATCGATGATTTGAAGTTAATGAGTACCCCTATGAGCACATCCATAAAATTGGACGATGATGATCAAGGTACGTCCGTTGATATAACAAAATTTGGGGTATGATTAGATCCCTTCTTTACTTAAAAGTAGACCCGATATTATGTTTAGTGTATGTCTATGTGCTAAGTTTCAATTGAATCCTAAAGAATCTTATCTTAAGGCCGTGAAACGTATCTTTAGATATTTTAGTAGCAATAGAACTTTAGGGCTTTGGTATCCCAAAGGCACCCACGTTGATGTACTTAGCTATTTAGATGTCGATTGGGCCGGATGCACAATCGATCGTAAAAGCACTAGCGGAACGCGCCATTTTTTAGGCTTTTGCACTTGTATCATGGTTCAACAAGAAACAAAATTCCGTTTCATTGTCTACCGCCGAACCCAAATATATCTCGGCTACTAGTTGTTGTGCACAAGTTTTATGGATGAAACAAACTCTTAGTGATTATTGCATATCCTTTGATCATATACCCATTATGTGTGATAATACTAATATCATAAACTTGTCTAAAAATCCTATTTTACACTCTAGGACGAAATACATTGAAATTAGACATCATTTCCTAAGAGATCATGCTCAAAATGACGATGTTGTGTTAGAATTCGTAAACATGGAAAATCAATTGGCTGATATTTTCACAAAACCTCTAACTCTTGATTGTTTCTCACATATTATAAGAGTTTTAGGCATTATTGATGAATTTGAAGTACATGATTAAATTCATAACTACACACGGTTACGTTTTTTCATTGCATTACTATATTTACATAATTTAGTGTGTTTTATATATAAAAAAAAGGGTCGGACGAGTTAATCGAGCATCCGGTAACCCCATCCGGTTTGACAGAGAATTTTAAATCATGATTAAAATCCCCTTTCACGAACCAGACCTTAGTTCTTCTCCTCTTTTCCATTTTTCTCTCATTTCTCTTCCTAAATCTCGTCTCTCTCCTTCATTCTCTCCACTCAAATCATCAAATACTCCTCAAAATTAATAAACTCACGACCTCTACACTTCAAATCCTTTCAAAATTCCAATTTTCATCCATTTCATTCCAATTTTCCCCAAAACATTCGAAACCCTAGAACTTAATTTTTCTTCAAATCTCCTCTACTTTTCTATAATGTCAAGCTCAGAAGAGCGGGGAAAAGACTCAAGAGCACAGCGAGGCGATCTCCTCAACCATCATCTGACAAGAATTCGATATGGAGCCCGAGGTGCAGGCCATCCCATTTGAAAAATCTCTCATTTTTAATAGGTAAAAATGTTGATTTTTCCGACTTTACTATTGAAGTGCCCACATTTCATATTGAAGAATATTTTGAAACACATGGGGTGGGTGTCGGTAGCCACTCTAGAAGAACATGCATATCCTCGCCTTATAAAAGAATTTTATAAAAATATGGTTATACTCCTCGTTCGGATGAGATTTCATGTTTATTCAAAAATGTTCATATCACCGTCAACAAGGCTCTCATTCGTAACATTCTTGAACTTGAGCCGTGTGATATTCAAATGTTTCTTCATAAAACTTAGTGCAAATCAACTAACACTTCCATACAAAGTTTTACAAAACGTTATTGCACATGTGATTCTTCCTTGAAATGGTCATTGATCTTTTTATCCTCGATTCATATCTTATTGGACGAAAACTAGATTTTTCAACTATTGTATTAGGTCTCATGAAACTTGTGCATTCCACGCGTCATTTTAAAGCTTTGCCTTATGTAATGCTTCTTACAAATTTTTTTAAACATTTTGGCATTCCACTACACGATAAGACATTTGTTAAACTTTTCCCTACATACCTATCAACATTTTAAACCCTTAAACGAATAAAAATAGTAAAAGAACATGATCAATGGGTGGTACACACAAAAGGGTTCGACCCCACCTCAAGTTCATCGACTCTACCTCTTGAAGGTGATGAGGATGACGATACTGATGACATACCGCAAGTTCCGTACCCTCCTTACGATGTTCCTGCCTTTAGTGATCATCGCTCTTCGTCTGGTGGTTTCACATTTACCAAGGATTACTACAATCTTCTCGATGGCCATATTGATTCTTTTACATCTTTAGTGAATGGACTGGTGGGATGCTTCGGGAGTTGTAGGTCCAGCAGACGCTATTCGAGCTCAACGGGATGCCATCTAAGCACAACAAATGGACATGCAGGTTCAGCAAAATGCTTTCTGCACTCACGTCTATGCACTTTTTCCTCCACCGCCTCCTCCGGAGCAAATCTATGGTTATTATAATTCATTTTTTACCTTATGCTTTTTGTTTATGCCAAAAGGGGGAATGCAAAGTGAGATGATTATGCATGATTCGTTTTTACAATAATAAGCTTAGAGTAAAAAGAGGGGAAAAAGGAAACTCATATTTTGAATGCATGGTTATCAATTTGTAAAAGGCGGGGGGATTGCAAATTGAATGATAAATTGATATCAAATTGCTCAATCCTATTCGGCAAATATCTTGTTTGTTATAATAAAAAATGGGGAAATTGTTGACCATTGGTTGATTTCGAATTTTGATTATAACAAACAAATTATTTTTATTTCTAACATTTATATTCGAGTCTTCATTATTACATGTTACGAACCTGATAGAAATCAAGCACTCGCGTCAAGACAATCGAAGACAAATCAAGCACTGCGCCAAATTCAAAATCAAGCAACAAATCGTGCACTCACGCCAAATCAATCGAAGATGTTAGACTTAGATGATTTGAATTCATATGTAAAGGTAAAATGTTTTAATTCTTAGCAATGAATCACTTAAGCTCGTAAGTTAAATCTTTATGCACGAGATAAACTGATCACAAAAACACTCGCATAAAAATTATTTTCGATGTGACAAAAATCTTCACTTGACTTTTAAATTCTTTGCCAATTACACTTATTTTGAAAATTTAAGTGAATATATCCTTCAATTATTTACACTTGCTTAATCCAGAAAAGAAAAACTCATAAATTTCTCGTCTGGCGGAAGTCCAGTGGATCTGGCGGAAGTCCGGTGGCATCAACGGTCAAAATTCTTACCGTTCTGATTTCTGAAATGTAATGGCTATTTTCAGTCGTCCGGTCTGTAGTGGACGTCCCGTATAGGTCGTCTGGTTGGGCAGAGCTTTTTGATATTTTGACTGCTATAAATACCCCATCACTTTACATTCAATTATACACATTCAAGAGCATTCAAGTGAGATTCTTTTGAGCAAAATTACATCGATTTCTCATATCATTTATTATCAAATCATTTTAATCTTGAAAAACTTTTGAAAATCATTCTACACATCAAAGTTTTCCGTGCCTCATACTTGAGCTTCATTCATTGTTATTTATTAAAGTGTTAACCCATTTCTCTCTTGATATTAGATTGCGATAATATCATTTAATAAGAGAGAAGTTTCAATTTGTATAATCTATTTTTTTAAAATTTGTGGATCATGTTGAGGTCATGTAAAGCTCAACGTTGTGAAATGATCGATGCTCCATATTTGTAAGTCACTGAAAGGTTTGTACAGGGTTGGATTGCACCACAAGTCAATCAACATAGTGAAATTGACCTTGCTCGTGTTGGAGAGCTTGGTAACGGAGGACGTAGATCATTGCGTTGGATCAAACCTCCATAATTATACTGTTTGCATTCTCTATCATTCTTTACTTATTTCTTTCATATTCGTACTTATTATTTAAATTAATCTATCTAGCTATTGCATACTTGATTATTGATTAATTTTTCCAAAAAGTTTTAAAACCCAATTCACCTCCCTCTTGGTTAGCTATTCTTGGGATGTCAATTGGTATCNGTTAGCTATTCTTGGACTATTAGATAGAACAAATTTCGTATCCTACGTAAGCAACACAACAATCTGCAGGAGTTCTAACGAACTCAATGAAATTTTTTCACTTCGAGAACATTATTAGAACGAGAGAGAATGATATTCAAAGTAAAGAAAGTTTACAATGAAATTAATGTAATTATTTGGCAACAAGGCAGACTATTATAGATTCGTTCATGGCCATTTAAAAATTCTTCAATTTTTTTCAGAACAATCGTCATTATTCAGACAGCCTTCAAACTCGAACAAACATCTCTATTCAGACCGAAACACTGTGTCTGTTAAATCGATTAACAAATGTCTGTTAAATCGATTAACGGTTGATCGACTAGACCAGAAAATACCCAGAAAAAGCCAACGGTAGGAAATAAAAAATACCATTTTAAATAATTTCATTAAATACCAAAAAATTTAGAGTGTGTTTGAGACACATTCTTTTGAAAGAATGTATTACTGAATAGTAGATTGATAGAGAATGTGTAGTTAAAAATGAAGGAAAAGTTATTGATGTGATGAAAAATATTATTTTATTGAAAAATGTGTGGTTGCAAATAAGTAGAAGAATGAGAATGATAAAAATAATGTGTACCAAATAGGTACCAAACATGGCCTTAAATAAATTCTCTCTCTCTCTCTCTCTCTCTCTCTCTCTCTCAGGATCCACCAATGCACAAGTTGAACTCAAGCTTGAGCTGAATTGATCGGACGACGGTGCGCGTGCGCTTAAAATCGAAACCATTAAGATATATGTCTCCCATTCCCAAGACTATTGGTACCACTTGGGATCCAATCCTAATTGCCAAACTTCCACCATATAAACTACACTAAAGTTCCCTTATTTTTCTACGTGGGATGAGTGTTTGGCAATTTCCAATTAGGTCAAAATAAAATAAAATAATTAGTTTATAGTTTCAAGTGGGTTATTTTAACATTAAATATTTGATTCAAACTCTAAATGTTTTTCAATAAATAAAATATATCACATTAGCCGTCTTGTAGAAGGTAAATATGATTGGTTGGAAGCTAAATGAAAGATGAAATTAAATGATTTGACCGGTAATTTAATGTCACGTTAACTTCGTATATACTGAGGTTACAACCCAAATAGCATTACTCTTTAAAACCATTTCCAACAGTAGCATTCTTGCTCTCCTCAGAAGCCCTAGACGTCCTTCCCCCATCTAGCTCAAAGTAGCATTTACCGATACTTCATTAGGTAATTTTGTACTTTATTTTGCATAGAAAAGCAAATTAGGACTAATTTGTGTCGACTATTGATTCAAATCATTTAGCTTTTGTTAATATAATTAACGAGTGTTTGGGTGATTGCTTTTCGACATGCCACTTGATTAATCGGGGCATTTATTTGTTATATCTTGTTTTAAATCATTGCAGATAAATTTCGAGGAACCATGGGGATTATAGAAAAGATCAAAGAAATTGAAGCGGAGATGGCTCGAACCCAGAAAAATAAAGCCACTGGTAAGTAAGTTGCATTTAATCTATGTCTTGTTCGAGGTTTTTTTTTTTCCTCTCTATTGAATATTATTGCTTGCATTTTTCTTATCTAGTGTAACGGTAATTATATGCTGTACTTTACCTGTAATTATGATGCAAATGCTTAGGCTGCATTTAGTAACACGGAGTTAGGGCTATATAATTGGAATTCGGATTGATTTTTCACTAATTCCAATTTCATAGCCTCGATTTTATGCTGGCAAATTTAGAATTTTCTCATTGATAAGTTATTTGATTATCGATCTATGTAGCTCATATGTCCTTTCTATTTAGTGAACTTAGCTCAGCTCTGTAAAGTGTAGATACCCTGCTTGTAATCTCTGCATATTTCAGAGTTTCTGATGCACTATGTTCTTTATATAATTTACTTGGTTGAAATTTTTTGCCTTCTTAGATCTGTTCCGAATTAAGTACTAATTTGACTCTTCTTCCCGTGGGAACAGAATATCATCTGGGTCAGCTCAAGGCTAAGATAGCGAAGTTGAGGACACAATTATTGGAGCCCCCAAAAGTATGCAACTTTTAGATTCATGTCGTGGTTGATCTGATAAATCAGATTGATATTGGCTTTTTTAGCAGTCCTTGTTTCACTGATTCTCAGGATTATGACTTTTTTAATGCATGAGATTGTTACTTGTTGGGACTTTGAAGTTTGAATCCTATAATTTTTCTCCAGTTAATCCCAGTTCCAATCTCATGTTCAATTGCAATGACTATTTTACGTTTCTACACAAGTGATGTTGTATCTTGATATTCTTCAATGCTGCATTAGGGTTCTAGTGGAGCTGGAGAGGGGTTTGAAGTTACAAAATTTGGCCATGGACGTGTTGCACTAATAGGATTTCCCAGGTTTGCAATTTTATTACTTTAGATGCATGTTCTAGGAAAATAGAATTTACCACCAAGAAAATAGATAGGATGGTTAAGGGATATTTTCTTGAGCAAGTGAGAATGGATTTTGATTTTTCTACACGATGGTGGGTTAGATGGGCCTTATCAAGTGACTTGATATGATTTGAACTTGAACTTGTCTCTAGCTCACGTGTGAAAGCACTCATAATATTGATGGGGACGCAATCAAGTCCATCTATTGCATTTTTTTCTTCCGGGAAAAATGATGAGCTGTTTTTTTAAGCACTAGAACTAGAGATAATGCCTTCCAGGTTGCAAGTGTAAAATGCAGCATGCTGATCTTTAAGATTCATCTGAACTTCCAAAACGAAGGCTGTGATATACACCTTCATGTTCTTCTCTGTCTGTGGTGTAAACATTTATTCAAAGACAAACTTCTTGTCGTTTTTTTACCTTTTACAGCGTTGGAAAATCAACACTTTTGACAATGTTAACTGGAACACACTCTGAAGCCGCATCGTATGAGTTTACCACGCTTACCTGTATCCCCGGTATTATTCATTATAACGATACTAAAATCCAGTTGCTCGATCTTCCTGGAATCATAGAAGGTGCATCTGAAGGCAAGGGGCGTGGTAGGCAGGTAAAACATTTGAACTGTTATAACTTTAGGCTACCACTTCCATGGTGAGTTTGGACTATGTGAAGATGACATTAACCCAGAATGGGAACTTTTCAATTTTAATCTCAGGTCATTGCCGTTTCCAAATCATCAGATATTGTGTTGATGGTTCTGGATGCTTCAAAAGTAAGTGTTACTCTTTCAGCTGGAATTGTAGAATCTTGTAGTCTGATATCTCTTACTCTTTAGCAGATAATGGTCTCTGTTTTGGCACGTTTACAGTTGTTTTGTGCTTAAATTTTTTTCCACCATTCATAGTTTTGAATTCACACATCACATCGATGGAATTGGTGAACTCGTACACACTGACAATCTTACCTTTGTATACCTCCATGAGTGTGTCGACATGCAGTGATGACAATCTTCTTCTTCTTCTTCTTCTTCTTCTTCTTCTTCTTCTTATCCAAGCTTTTGTGGTTATGTTGAGTGAAGTCTAATCTTTTACCTTAGCCTGTTAACCAACCATGGAAAATTTCAGAGTGAAGGACATCGATATTAACGAAAGAGCTTGAAGCTGTGGGCTTGCGTCTAAACAAAAGACCGCCAGCTTCTTCTTCTTCTTCTTCTTCTTCTTCTTCTTCTTCTTCTTCTTTACTGCCATATCCAAGCTTTTGTGGTTATGTTGAGTGAAGTCTAATCTTTTACCTTAGCCTGTTAACCAACCATGGAAAATTTCAGAGTGAAGGACATCGACAAATATTAACGAAAGAGCTTGAAGCTGTGGGCTTGCGTCTAAACAAAAGACCGCCTCTGGTAATTTATTCCTCCATGGACCATCGTCTGTATGATTATTTGTATTTTCTTGCATTTTTTCCTGGCTCTTGTTTGCTTAGTATCACCAAGATACAAATATAAGCTTTCATGAGTAGGAAATTTTGTAATAAAATTTGACAAGTAGACATTATTTTGAGAAAACTCAAAATTTAAAGGATGGTAGTCAATTGAAAAGGAGGGCATGTTGTTTTTCTTCTCTTTGCCAATTCTAGATCCAAAATTTTATTCTTGAATCTTTTGCATCATAATTTGTGATGTTGTTTACCAACAGATATACTTTAAGAAGAAGAAAACTGGTGGAATTTCTTTCAACAGCACCTTACAATTAACTCACGTGGATGAGAAGCTGTGCTATCAGATATTACATGAATACAAGATTCACAATGCAGAGGTACTCTCTTTCTCCACACTTAATTTCGTCATTCATTTAAGTGTGGTGATGTCCTGTTCCCATCTTTTAGCGTCTGCTTCCGAGATACGGTCTTCAAATTCATCATACACTAAAGTAAAAGAAAGAAATGGAACATTTTTTTCACAGGCAACGAGGAATTGAGGGAGTGTTTGCTTTTTTGTGTTACACTTGTTAACAAAGACACATTTAACAAAGACACGTTTGACATCAGCTNGTTTGGTAGGGATTTTTGGAGGAATAATTGATTTTTGAATAGTGATATGATGGGAAATGTGTGGTTGAAAAAGAAGAAAAAATTATTGATGTGATGGAAAATATTATTTTATTGAAGAATGTGGTTGAAAATGAAAATTGATTTACTGTAAAAAAATTTAATCTCTCCCAAACAGGGCCTAAATTTGCAGTATGAGTAAGATTATATAGAGAATTTTAAAACTTATAGTCCCTGTGTGGTTGGAACTAGGTCCCATGATTCACCAGCCATGCTACTCCGACGACAAGTGGTTGACGGTTCACTCCAAGGGATCTTGAGCAGTAGTTCTGCTCTAAGGCACTCCATTATTTCTAAATTTTCTCTGATTAACCTTAACCCGTGACTATAATTTCATATTCTATATTTGGAAATTTGTTATTCTAAAAAAGTGAACTTTTTAGTATGTAGAAATTATGGACGGAAAATGGTATTAACTACTTTATTACATAAAACACGTTGATTTCCTTTCTGGTTATTTGACATTTTAACTCTACTTGTAAGTTGTAAGTAACTAGTTTGTCAACTATGAAACTATTTATAGTACAGTTTACCTAACTGCTCAAAATTGTAATACTACTTATACGTAAAACAATTAAAGTTACTTCTAATTAACTTGTTTAATTGTAAGTTATTGCATATGAAGACTTCATTTGCCTCCAATGAAGATTTACTCTGAGCCACGTTTTTTGTGCAATAAATTGTCAGATTTTATTTCGTGAAGATGCCACAGTGGATGATCTTATTGATGTAATCGAGGGAAATCGTAAATACATGAAGTGTATATATGTCTACAACAAAATAGATGTAGCTGGTATTGATGATGTGGACAGATTAGCACGACAACCGAATTCCATTGTCATTAGCTGCAACTTAAGGGTACGTGTGACATTCTTAAACACTCTTCCATGTTTTAACGTAACTGAGCCATATGTAACTAACTATTTGTTGCTTATTGCTGAAAAGTTATTTCCATATTTTTCTAGTCCAGCTCAAACAATTATTAGGAGATTGATACAACTTAATTGCAGTTGTAGATGCAAATTTTACAAGTTAATGTTGTGTCGTTATGTTGCTTGAATAGCTGAATCTGGACCGGCTGCTAGCGAAAATGTGGGAGGAGATGGGTCTTGTCAGAGTTTATACCAAGCCTCAGGGCCAGCAACCAGACTTCGGTGATCCTGTGGTCCTCTCTGCTGTATGTCTCTGTGTCATAATATTAGTGCATGCATATCTGTGTGAAGGCAAATTTTTTTGGGAGCTGTTTTTATAAGAAATATGCTCATTCTTCCCCATTGACATGTATTGATGACATTTTGGTTTTTGATGTTAGGGTGGCAGAATTCTGCTTCCTTTCTCTATTTAAAGTGATATATTTTTCTTGAATTATGTAATTTGGATTTTATTTTAGGGTAGAGGTGGCTGCATAGTTGAAGATTTCTGTGACCACATTCATCGGAGCCTGGTAAAGGATGTGAAGTACGTATTGGTTTGGGGCACAAGTGCAAGGCACTGCCCACAACACTGTGGCCTTACTCATGGACTTCAGGACGAGGATGTAGTACAGATTGTTAAGAAAAAGGTATCCAAGCTCTCTTTAAGATACTTTTTCTTGTCTCATAGTGAGCACATATTGTTTTATTGTTTTCAATAAACAAGAGTTAAAGATCAACTTTTATGGTTCGTCTGGCTGTGAATCCTTTCTGTGTTTCCAGTGTTCATACATTGGAAGCAGGATGGAGTCTTGATACATAGGATTATATAAGCAAATCATAGTATTAGACCCAGTTTGATCATTGACCCGTCCAATTGTACGTCATTGTTCAGAATGGTGGGTGACCAATTAGAGAATTATAAAAGAGAGTTCAAATACTGTTTGATTGATCTCTTTGGATTATTTAGCTGTATGTTTTTTCTTAAAATTTTATTTTCAGGTGATAGAAGTCTTAAACGGTTTATCTTGAACTTATTTTTCTTATTTTGTAAATCAAGTTTTTATTTGTATTTTTTCTTTCGTTATAGACACTCATTGATGCTATAAACTAATTTGCTTACTGTAATGAGTCATTTTACTGGAAGATGAAGGGAATATTTTTTAGCTTTTGATTCATAACTGATTTTCACTCCATGAACCTTCTTGGAAGCTTATATTATTATCCATTTTCTCTCTCCGGACTCTTTTCCATGTAAGAAATTTGGTCTATTTTAGCTTAAATTTCAACTCTATATACATAACAAAAAATTCATTAGATAATTACTTAGATAAATGGAAAAGTTAGTAAAATATACTCTTCAAGAACCTGTATTTGGTTATTAAATTCATACACTACGAGGCAAAAATATAAAGAACCCTTTAATTTTATGCAAGTGTACATCGAAAAAGATTTAAAATTAGTGAAAAGTTGGTAACAGATTTTTCTGTCATTGTAATTTTTTATGTACAATATAGGTAGTGTGATCAGAGGGGCAGCGTCAATGTTGTGTGAGGATTAACTAAATCTCACAAAAATGAGATTTAACAGCTGTATATCTAGAGTAATTCAGAATCGTCTGGTTTAACAAAACTGGGTTACTGACTTTCTTAAGATCCAGCAGAGCTAGCCGGTTTTTGACCGGTTCACACGTAAGACGTAACACAGTCAAGTTGACTCTCCCAACTCTTGGACTAGTCCAAGTTTTATAAGTTGCGCAACCTATTTACAATAGTGGAGTGGCTCGACGGCTCAACGCAATGACAAGGGAAATGCAATTTTGCATTTAAATGTAGAAGCATGTGCACGTTTCGCTTCCAAAATTCTTTGTATTATGAAAAACCTTGGTTGTTCCATTCTACTCAAGAGCTGGGGTTTACCATAACATTTTACTATGAAGTCTGTCAACCTTCATGTAAGGACTAAAATTTAAATAGAAGACCTAATGATTTCCCTTCTGACAGTTTTCACTAGTTTCTTGTTTTCAATCTCATTACAATTGATTATAGTTGGATGAGGGTTAAAATATTTTCACGATGGTTGCATTCACAAGATTTTCATTCAAAAGTTGCGATTTTATGTGTCTCATTTAATTTTTGTGTTTTTTTGTCAACTAAGCCTGTAAGATTTTAGTTGGGGTTGTGCTGGGTACAAATGAAGCAAGCTTATGCGGGAGCTGCTTGAGGAGCCTCTTGAATAGCACGTGAATTGAGCTCAAGCTCAAGCATACTGGGTTTGCATGCTTGTGAGCCTAAGTGAACGTGTATTACTTTTTACGTGTTATTTATTTGCTTAGTTGATCAATATTTCGGCACCATATGTGCATGTTAATATTCGGCTATGCAATTTATCTATCTGATATACATAAGATATACCGGTGTTAGTATTTGACTATGCAATTTATCTGTTTGATATAACATGAAGTATACTGGTGCAAATAAACTAAATTATCTAATATTTAACCACTGAATGGAATGAAAATCCTCGAAAAGGTATGAACCTGTGATTTGCTTTCTGCAGGAGAGGGACGATGGAGGCAGAGGACGGTTTAAATCACACTCAAATGCTCCTGCTCGAATATGTGACAGAGAGAAGAAGGCTCCTTTGAAAACATAATTTTTTGAGTGGTGATGCTACCTCGAGGAATTGTTGTGATCCATTCTACAGATGGATTTTTTTCAATTTCTGGATGAAATCCATTGTGAGGGAACAGCTCAAGATTTTGACAGTCTTCTTCTGACTCGTTTGAATAGATGTTTCTCCTCAAATTTGAGTGGTTATTTATAATTTATACTTCAGCATTGACATCGAGAAGCATTTGAAGATTGAGCGAGTTTGATTTCTTTAGTTTGTAAAAAAATTTGAACAAGATTTGGTAATGTTTAATGTGATCTATATCTATATAACTGGACAAAAAATTAGAATCTTGTTTTGAGTTAATGTAATTTTTGTGGCTCCAATTTCACCATAATTTTGTTGCTTTCACTCAATATTCGTTAGGCAAGTCTTATATTTTCTTGGTCTACGTACAAGGAAAATAGTTAAGAGCTTAGCAATTTCAACAGAAAAAGGCATATTCCATGCCTTTTTACATGTTTATGTTGTCACGAGATATTTTTCAGGTTTCCAGATCGATGAAGGACGAAGTTTGTTGATGTTATAGGAGCTGGAAATCACTTGGTAGCTCTCTTTAAATCTCTGGATTTAAAGTTAATTTATGGATGCTGTTGTGATTTAGCTGAAATAAAATAGTTGTGTAGTGGACCAGTTGTGCATATAGACACAACTTCCCGCTGTTATGCCTGCTTGGTTTCTGCGGAGTAAATTGCTTAGAGTACGCGTTTATTGTGTCAATTATAAAGCATATTTTGCTTAAATTGTACGGGTTCATGGCGTTAGTTTGCCCGAGCTTGTACTGAACAAGATGCTTTCTTTCCCGACATATTCTACCTATTGTTGGAAATTTAGAGGCTTTCAATATATCTGTTGCTCATATAAATTTGCAATCATGCTACATTTACATTCTTACATTTGTCTTTAGGCTCTTCCGCATGGCAATATCTGTAGTCTTGATTTTAAAATTTAAACTCATCCATCACAGATTTCCTTACATATATGGAATGCCAACCATGGTGTCATGCAAAATGTGCCTAAAGCATTATTCATAAATTTGTTACCCTGCAGCTTTCAACACAGTTACGAGTGTGGAAGCTGGAGCAAAGGGGGTGGTTGGTAGTACTAAAGATCGGTGTTCCTAATAACGTAAGGCGTGGGGGCGAATTTTCAAGCACTATGAGCTTAAGCAAGCCTAAATGACGTTTAAGCATAAAAAAACGTTTTCTAATTTTTAATCATTTTAAGAATCATTTAATAATTAAAATAATACATATCAAACATCTAAATTATAAAATATTATAATTAATTAATAATTCCTATAATTAGTTAATTATACAATTTTCAATTTTTGAAATACGAAAATAGACTATTTTTCATAGTTTTAACTTTCAACTAGACAAGTTCTACTTAATAAATTTATAGGAACGCCATACATGCTTTTGAAGTTTTCAACAAAATAACAAGTCTTTGATCAAAATTACAAATGTGGATAACACCGTAACTAAAATTTAATCTAACTCTTTATGGAATAAAGTCATTTTTAACTTTTTGTATATATGAAGTCTTTTAAAAACTTGAAATTAAAGTCAAATGAAAAGTTTTTTTAAAAAAAATTAATAAACTAGCGTAAAATAAAAGACTTTTAAAAAAATAAAAAAATTTAATAAAGCGTGCCTAAGGAAGGCGAAAGAAAGGAATGAGAAAATTCGACCGTTTAGGAATTGAAAAAAAAAAACCTAGACGCGAAGCGAAACGTTTTTCCAAGATTCGAGCTTAGGCGGATGTGGATCCTATTGTGGTAATGAACATAATATTTATCAAGAGAAAAACAATGGTTAGATTATATCAAGATCTAACTCTTATAAGGTCGATGACCTTGGTTCGAGTTTCATTTGGGGGGAATGGTGAAGTTCGAAAAAAAAGTTGACAAAAGATGGTGATGGTGTTGCAACTGCATTTCTCAAAACAACCGTGCTATATGTATAGGCTCAGTGATAGTATTTTATTTTACAGACAATACGACATTTGTTTCGAAGTTGCAAAAAAAAAAAAAAAATCATACAGGTGCTACCAGTGAAGCACTTGTAAAAGATCAGTAAACAATTCCGCTGTACAAGGATAATTGTTCTTCTAAAAAATAGCAAATGAGAAACTATAAACCTTTTTAATGTGCTAATAGTTCTAGTTGTTAGATTTATTCCCATTTGTCCAACTTTTGCTATGCTAGGCCATGAACCGTGTTAATGATCGTACTTGGTCCTTAGACATACTTTGAAAATGTATCACATGTGACGTTGAATCATACTCGTCATGCCAAGTTAGTGATAGCTCTTAGACGTAACGAAAATTCAAAATCCACTCGATATAAAATTAAAAAGAACATAATTTCTCAGTTTCACATGATTAAAGATATTATTCCGTAAGCACATGATCGATCTCTTCTTTTCCCACAAAAAAAAACAAAAACAAAAGCTGCTCATGTTAATACGGTTGCATTACAATCTTCTTGGGATCACCAAATATTCTCTCTACCTTTCTCTTTTTCTTCTCCTTTACTTGCTTTATTTACTTTTAATTAAAGCACCCTACTCTCTTGTGTCTCACTTGTATTGTATATTTCTACTGGGTCCAACTACAATCCCGAACAAGGTTAAAGAAAAGAAAAAAGTTTTAAGTTCTCGTGCACGATTTCATTTAGCTCTTGTTTCGTCTTTCATTTTTAAAATTTCGTTTTTCTTCGAACTCGTTTTTAATCATACATTCCATAAGACCTACAACTTTTATCAACTTTTTATCAAAATCTACATGGATTTTTAACAGTTTAAGTTGCAGTCTATATGGATTTTTAACTCAATTTAACTTCAAACTTCACAGGGTGTAATATAAATTTGATGATGTATTGTCGACAGTGGCACACATGTTTGAATAACGAACCTAGCCCGGACTGGCTTGGTACAAAACGTAAACGGTGTTAGTATGGATAAGATTGAATCGTCCACACCTATTTGACACCACTTCTTGTAAGTGCGATACAAGGACGATGTATTATTGGCATTATCACACGTGTGTCATGTCGATGGTGGGCAATGGGTTGCCAAGCAATTTGGGGGCAGGATTAATCAAATGGACTGGGGCCCACTTATATGATTGGTGGACATATATGATTTCTTAAGATATGTTAAGGGGCACCCACGTGTACATGCACCACAAGGCTTGGACATGATGGGCCAGCCCATGATGTGCATTGGGCTTCCAATAATGTTTTAGTTGAAAGTGCTAGATCAGATTGGGACCAAGTTATAAGTTAGCCACATCTTATGAAGAAATTAATTTCTTTCATTCCCCCTGCTCATTTCCGACTACAAAATAAATATGTCGAAATTACATGTCATCAGGTAAGTGATATTTAATTTAACCATATTAATCAAAATTTTTTATTTTATAATACTGTTTTTATTTTAAAAATTTTTTTTTACACAAAACAAGTTATTCGTGTACAATTTTTAATTCCGTATACTCGAAATTTAAGTAACCGATTCCAAGGCCGGATAAAGGAGAAGGGTTTAATTTAAAGAAAAAAAGAAACGAGCTCGCCCCTATAATAACGAGCTTATGCTTGGCTTCTTATGGACAAGCCACGAGCTCAGCTCGTGACAAGTATGAGTCGAGCTCGTCGGCTCGGCCCACTGCAATCCCTAACCCCACCCCCCACCCCCCCGACACACCATTTTTTTCTAATTATTTTTATCTCTTGACTCGGTATTCAATATATACAGGACGTATTCAGTATACATTATTATAGATTATTGGACAATATAATAGACATTTTTAATATGTTCATCTTTAATGTTATCTAGTATTGTCAGCTATATCTTATCAAAACATTTTAACTATGGAAAGAAGAAACCATTCAAACCATGTTGCACACGCCCCAAGTTCCGTTAATGGAAAAGATGATTCTTAGTGATGGAGATAATCGAGTGTATAAAATAATAGTTCGTCTAGGATAGGAAAGAGAGTTGTGCATCAAGCTAAATGTTTCGTCTTTGAAAACGAGTGTGTAACAATTCACTCTTAAGCGTGAGAGTGGGCTCGTAGTGCACCAAGCTAAAGGTGTAATCTAAGATACAAACGAGTCAAATGGGAAATGGTTTGTGTTAGTGCACACGGGTAACACGTGGGATCTGTAATATGAAATAATGCAATGAATTATTAAATCAAGTAGCCTAAAAGAAAAGGCAAGAATTTCAACCAGATATATCCATTTCAAATATGCTTTTGTTTTTTTTAGACTTTTTTCCAATATAAATAAAAATACTGCCCACAAATGACAAATATGATGATAGAAAAAAGCCAAAAAAGAGGATTAATTAGCCAACAATTAGATATCAAATGGACACTACAGACAGATACAAGACTGCCGCAGCTTTTAATGCTTAGCGACAAAATACTGTATATTATAGATTATTGTCTGGTATTTGGCCTCTGTTGTACCCTTGTACAAGGACAAAATCAGAAGAAAGATTTAATGTACCATAAAAAATAAAATAAAATAAAATAAAACCCATTTGTTTTGTAAAGTTGACATATAAGATCAAGACCCTAACTCGTTCCCATTCATGTAACGAGTCTGAAAAAGATTTTAAGTGACGGAAAGATACTATACTCGGCGTGCATTCACAAAGAATATGCTAACTCACATGAAGCACTTTTGTTCTTCGTGTTTTCGGGCGTGATGTATTATTCTTTACTACACCTTTCACTAGAGTCCGATGAAGCTCCCTTCAAAATCTGTACTATGTTTATTTGTTATTGATAAAACAATGGCGTGAATTGTGCATGGTTGGTATGTAACAATCCTATCAAATTCTTGCCCACAAAATATATAGCATGAAATAAACCGTGATTGTAACAACTCATTTTGGTTTGTCAACAGCTGTTGAATTACTAGCGGAGGCATTTAATACATATATAGAGATTATTAACTTTTGATATAGATC